GTTACTAACTTTAAGTTGCCAATATTCCTTTGCTCAAACCAAGTCTCATGGCTCACAACAGTGGTGTGGAAGATAAAGTCACAAAGTAAGTAGTAGGAATGTACAATTCTAGAATGATGAAGCTGTGAAGAATTGGGAATGCTAATCTAATCCATTACATGATGTCATGCAATATAAACTTACCTCTCATCCCTCATCGCGAAGTTCCTCCTTTTCAACACAATCACTTTTGCCAGTTACTGGTCACTCACCCAGGAATATCTTTCAATATATAATTTCAATAGACATTGCCACATTGCTCACCAAAGTGCTTGCATTAGTTTATGTCCAGCCGGGGAGATAGCTCAGTAGAATAGGCGCCTGCCTGACAAGTGCAAGGTCCTGAGTTCAATCCCTGGTACCACAAAAAAAATTAGTGTATGCCCAGATAACTGTGAATGAAGCAATCTATTCTTCACATATTCTTCAATACTGCATGCTATTGACCATCACCATTATAATTTAGGATTTACTTATTTCTCAATTTATACAACTATTTCCTTTTTTGAGAGCATGTTCATTTCCATCGCCTATTTCTCTATTGCGATGAATTTTTTCAGTTGGTTTGTACATTGATAAAATTCTGTTTGATGTATTGCAATTTTTCTTAGTCTATATTTTGTCCTTCTTTTTGTTTGTTTTGAGACAAGGTTTTTCTATGTAGTTCAGGCTTGCCTTGAACTCACTATGTACCCCAGAATGACCTTGAACTCACAGCCATCCTCCTACCTTAACCTCCTGAGTTCTGGGATTACAGATGTGCACCACCACACCAGGCTCTCAGTATATATTTTTGATTTTTTTTCTTAAGGTTTTTCTTTTTAGAAATGTTTGTGTGTAGTGAAATTTATCATTTTCTTTATCATATATAGAATAGGTTTTGAGTTTTGCCTTAGAAAGTTGTTCCGGGGCTGGGGAGATAGCTCAGTAGAATAAGTGCTTCCCTGGCAAGCACAAGGTCCTGAGTTCAATCCCCAGTACCGCAAAAAAAAAAAAAAGTTGTTCTCTACTCGAGGAAATATAACGTTGATGTTCTGATTTAGGATACCTGGGACATTGTTGCAGGAATCTTCCACAGTATACTAAATAAGTAATTCTGACAATCAGCCAAGTGTAGGAATGTTGATGAAATCAAACCACTATTTATGGCAATTGGCATATAGTTGACACACACACACACACACACACAAGTCTAGTCTTCCTGCTTGCTATCCTAACAAGCAACTTTGAAATTGGTCTTGGCAGAAATGTTAAATTTAGTATTTTTAAAGTTACTTCTTTCAATTGCAAATCTTTTAAAGACTTTTGGCTTTATGGAATGTTTATCAGCTGTTTTTATTAATAATCAGTGAACATGTATTGAGTTGATGAACTCAGTAAAGTTATGTTCTTAATATTGTTAGGAAGATGATACTACTCTAGTGAGACATAGGAATTGATTTGTTTGTACAGCAGTAGTAATTGAATTGTACTAAGGTATGCCTATACTCTCCACTATTTCTTTCATGTAACTAAAGCATTTGGGATGTTTATAGCAATGCAATTTGTCATAGCTAAATCCTGGAAACAACCCAGATGACCATGGAATAAGTCAAGAATGTATAAAGAAGGTGCGATATTTTACACAATGGAGTTTTATTCAGCTATAAAAAAGGATAAATTTCAGTCTTTGTGTTGGTAAATGGATGCAACTAAAGAACATACTCTTAAGTGAAATAAATCAGACTCATACCTCTTTTGGGTCCTCCTTTCCAAGATGACTAAAAAAAGAAGGAACAATGGTCATGCCAAAAAGTGCCATGATCATGTGCAGCCTATTCACTGTACGAACTGTGCCCAGTGTGTACCCAAGGATAGGGCCATTAAGAAGTTTGTCATTTGGAACATAGTGGAGGCCACAGCCATCAGGGATATTTCTGGAGTGAGTGTCTTTGATGATTATGTGCTTCCCAAGCTGTATGTGAAACTGCATTACTGTGAGTTGTGCCATTCACAGCAAAGTGGTCAGAAATTGATCTCGTGAAGCCTGCAAGGACCAAACTCCTTCACCCCGATTTAGACCTGCTGGTTCTGCTCCATAACCTCCACCAAAGCCCATGTAAGGGGAGCTGGGCCTTAATGCACTGAAGAAAACTCTTTCTCTCTCTTTTTTTGTTTTGGTGGAATCACGGTTTGAACTCAGGACCTTGCATTTGCCAGGCAAGCACTTATTCTACTGAGCTATCTCCCTGGCTCCAAGAAAACTCTCTTGAGAAAGAAATAATAAATTGAATGTTATACTTTATATAGCATGTTGAGTATACCTGCCATAGGTGGGTTGAGTTAATTCTACCTATCCAAGTTTAAGTTTGTACTCTGAAAATGAATAAAGAGGAACACACTGGAAGGGGAAAAAATCAGACTCACATATGCAAACATAGTATTGTCTCCTTAGTGTAAGAACATGCAAGAGCAAAAATGGAATCTGAAGGGTACAATAGATACTGGGAAAAGAGAATGAAATTATTCAAAGGGAAAGAGTCACTGAGTTGGGTACAATAGATACTGGGGAAAAGGAATGAACTTATTAAAAAAGAAATAGTTATAATGAGAGTGGAAGGACAGGAGAAGGAGTGATGAAAGAGATTTATCTTTGTAAGTAGGATGGTTTGGACAACTGTACTATGCATTTCCATTGGTCTATGCAAAGAAGCAGTTAATCCTTTAATTTGTTTTCTCTCCTATTTTCTAGTTCTACTTATTCTTATCTTAGTTTTTTTTTTATATATTTCTCTCTTTTTTTCTTTCTTCCAATTTTACATGCTCAGCTAAGTCTCAAGGGTCTGAAGGTTGGTGATATGTTCCAGGACAGATTGTATACACCAGTGAGACAACCAAGAAGATAAGATTCGAGGAGATGAAGTTTGTCTGAGCAGTATACCCCATACTGTTGCCATTACCAGGTTGGAAACACATGGCTTTGAGGGCCAGCAAGGGTAATAGGAGCATAAGTGTGGAGGGAGGTTGGGGGTGGTAGTGACAGCTGAAAGTGGTGATGAGGGTGGTACATGGTGAGGAAACAGGCAGAGAGAAGCTTCCACCAACTTTACAGCAAGCATAAGACTGCATGACAGTACCCTATGGTTTTATCTGAAAAGAACTATTAATTCAAAACAAAAACTGTAGAGCATGTTCCTTGTTCACCATACAGCCCACTTGATCACCATGAAGATGGAAAACAAAAACCAGAGGACATAGCAGTATTGCTGGCCTTTCCTTTCACACCAAATCTCCCTAGATTTCTGGTTTTAAGTCCAATTGCAGAAGGAATTTTCCATGATGGGAGATGGCTTTTTGTGAAATTTGATGGCTAGGATGGTTTGTACAGAAAACAGTGCATAAGCTTGGCAAGAGAGGTGTGAACTGGGGAATAGCTTAATCATGTGCAGGTTCCAGTCTTAAAAGCTGTGTGAACTATGTATGGAGGTGAAGGGGCCAAGGAGGCAGATTGTAAGGCACGGGTAAAGTCTATGTGCTGAGGCCCTTTCCTTTTTGCTAGCTTTGTGGCTGATACAGAACGATGGAGGTAGGCTTGGCTAAACAGCTGGAGAAAGCTCAGAGAAAGGAAAATCAGGAGCCCAGAGTAGCAGCAAATGCTGGCACACAGTACTCGGCTGGCCCATTAAATAAGCAATTCTGTTAAATGTGTTAGCCAGGGAGCAGGTGATCAGGTCATGGCTGGCAAGCCTCAGGCATGCAGAAATGGTCACTAATTTCTAGCTGTGAGCACCCCTCCCCCAGCGCAGCGCACACCAAGGTCCCAGGACCTTACTTGCCTGCCCTTTGACTGGTGGAACTGGAAAGTCTGGAGATTTAAAGATGCAAGTGTGGGAAAGAACAGTTCTCCTGTTATCTGGGAGCGCGCATTATAAATTAAAAAAATGTGTGGCTTTTACTTTGAAAACATCAAGTTCTGGCCTGAGGGGAGCTAAGTAGTTGAACACCTAGGTGAACTAGACACCTGTTCGGTGGCTGAATGTGAGGGCCAGGAAAACTGAAAAAGTGCTTTAGAGGTTTCCCACACTTAGCTGCGCTCAGCTGAATGCGCGCCTCAATCACGTATCCCAGCCTATTCTTGGATGGCCGCTAGACGGCGCTGCCGGGTCGTGCTTCCTTTCTTAGGGGAACCGTAAGAGAAGCGCGTTTTTAATCCAGGGATTGGGAGACTTGGGTTTGGCAGATTTTCCCATTCTCCTCACTTTGTCCCTTCCCCTTGAGCTCCCAAATCCAAAAGGGGGTGGAAGAGGAGGAGGAGAAGGAGGAGCAGAAGCAGTCCTTATCCATGATGCACCAGAGCCGTTCTAGTTTCCACCTACCCCCCTTGCAATCAGTCAGCCAGGAGGCACCAAACTGGTAGCAACGGAAACGCAGCCCCTGGTAACTTCCAGTGCCTTCGCATCCCCTACTCCAGAGGTATCTTGGAGATGCAAGCAGCGGTGGCAGTTTGTGAGGCGACCCTGGAGCTCACTTCTTGGGAGTCGCTCGCTCTTTGGTGCTAGGGCGCGTGAGTTTTTGCGCACCGGCTGGAGGGTTCCCGGGAAACGGTGGAGCAGCGCAGGAGGGAGGAGCGCAGGCAGAGTTTACAACGGGCGCCTGCGCTGCGTTTGGGTGAGCTGGTGGGTCTGCTGCCTTCCTGAGTGTCCGTGCTTCTCCGGCCAAGGCGCTCCTTTTACTGCGTGCACTGCTTGGCCTGGGCAAGGTGCCACTGGAACAAGACTCCTCCAAAGCAAAGTTGCGCAGAAGGAAGAGGCTGGGAGGCAGGAGACTCGGGAGAGTCCAGTCACTAAGCAGAGGCAGCACCTGCCATTCAAACTGAAGGGCGGAATGATTTAGGAACTCTCCTTAGTCTCTCTCTGGAGCTCCCCCCAGAGTCCGCAGGAGCTCCGTCGAACTCTAGAAATCTTCCCTAGGCGGACAGAAGTTTTCTGCTATTTTCCCTGACTAGCAGTGGGAGCTGAGAAACGGGCTTAGGCTGTTCTGTCCGCTGCTTGGGAAAACAGTCTTCCTCCAGCCCTGCTTATCACTGGGCAGGTTCTGACCGCCTGCTAAGTCCTAGCCTGAGCATTCCTCGAAACCCGGCTCGCCGTCTCGACTTGGACATGGAATTATACGCCTGAGAGCTGCTGGACGTTGCTGGTTGTTTTACAAGACTCAGGTAACGCCCGCTTGGAGAACCAGAGAGTTGGCTCACTGGGCCTGGGGGAGAACTCGTTGAGCTCTCGGGTGACAGCAGGGAACAGGCAGGCGCGGGCAAAAACTGAGGCTCCTGATCTCCTATAGCCTTAGTCCGCATGCCAGGAACTTACTGGCTGCCTTCTCCCCATACAACTCTCTCAGAAAGTTTAGAGACAGAGCTCCCAAGGCCAGAGGCTCTTTTCCTGGTAGGAGGCTGCTCAATTGCTCAGGTGAGGTAGAGCGGGTACTTTGCTTTCCCCGAGCGGGATCTTTGTGGTCTCTGTAGCTAACTTAGGTTTTGCAGCCTTCAAAACAATTTCCCGTTAGGCACTTCTGACTCCCAACCTTTCTGCCCGCGCGGTCCTCGCGATCAAGAGAGCACTCCGTGGGGATGGGGTTCAAGGCAGCTCCAGGGTAAAACAGCAAGGGCTTCCCCAGCGTGCGCTCCTGCTCCTGGGGATTCCTATGGCACTTCAGATGGAACAGAGCGCTGGCGATTGGGAGCAATCTCTATCTTTCCGCATGAAAACACAAAGGGGCATCCCTGCTGAGCACAGGACAACTCTCTGCCCTGCAGAAATCCCCGCTGCCCCTTGTGTGCATTTTCCAGGTTGAAAGTGTCTTTGCTCGCTGTCGCTTGGGGGACCAACCAGTGTCCAGTTGTGGCTCACACTCATGATGGATACCCAGAAAGGGAGGGTGGGAAGAGTCAACTGCAAGTGTCCTAGCCTGCAGTCGGCTCTGGAGTGGAGGAACCAATTTGATTTGTCACTAATAGTTAAGAAAAATGCCTTGGTAGGAAGACTGGGAAAAGAAATTGTATATTAACAGTTCTGTTACGCGGGTTTCTCCTAGTCCCTGCAGCCACCCCTTAATTTCTGTGACCTAGGAACTTTGAGGGAGACATTAGGAAATGAGTATACAAGGTCTCCACCCACTAACCACAGAAGTTGCTAGTGGGCAGAAGTACTGGAAAACAGCTTCTCTGCTGAATGCTACTGGAGTCTACCACTGGTAATTTTGTTGTCTGGAGGTGGGGGGGATCTGTTTAAGAAATCTTGTCTCTGAATGGGGAAGTAGCAATGCCCACTAATATATTCAGTCTCATCTTGTGTAAACTTCAAAAAAATATTTATTTTTGGCCAGGAGAACCAGATTGTAGATTATTAAACGGTGCATCCAGAGACTTGAAAGAAAGGAAGGAGCAAAGCAAGGATATATTCTAGAGGTTTTGAAAGTTCACTGGGCATCTTACAGCTAGGGCAGATGGTAGCAATTACGGGGGAGGATTCCTAGGAAGAATCCAGAACACCTGTGAAGAGCTGGGGTGGGAGTCATTTAACTATTGACAGTCCCATCCCCTGATCTCCTTGTGGCAAGGGTTCTTCCTGAGGATTTGAGGACAGTTTTGATCATGTAATGCTGAGCCACTGGGCTCTTTGTCTCTAATGGAGGTATTTGTGCTTCCACCTTGTCTTGGGGCTCAGGACACATTCTTCCTAGTGCTCCTACTTCCCCAGAGACGAGTTGGTAAGTGTGCCTTGGGACCTAGGCAAAGTAGATTTCCCAGGTATCTGAGCATGGGCTTCTCTAGAAGTACCTACCTTCATCCCTTTTCTCTCTCTACTTATTTCCTTTGCAGAGCAAACTCTGCCATAGGACCAGTATTGTCACACCTCTCAGTGGCTTAACCTTATGCACCGCCTTCACCTCTCTGCTGCCTGTTCTGGGTGAGAACTTCAGTCTCCAGGCTGCCTCGGGCTAAACAGCCTGCAATTACCTGGGTAGATGCTGGTGATTTAAAGAGAAAGTACTTAAATGTGGGTGAAACCCTGCAGTACCAGAGGATCCTGGATTACTCTAGCCCCAGAAGGTTGGAAAGAGGGGCGAGCTATACCCATAATTGCCTAGGTGACAGCAAGTCATGGATGCTTCTGTTCAATAAAGCAGTTCAAGGCCTTCTGAGGAGTACGGTTGAGATTTAACACTAGCGTTTTGATATAGCTGCTCTTTCTGTATTTTGAGCTTTGTTAACTCAGGTTGAACAATGGGCCCTTTGCGTTTTCTGCAGCGCTATCACTAGGTCTGCTGTGTGCGGAGGCTGAAAAACAATGTCAGGTGTGGGGGGTTATGGCTGCCACTGGCCTGTGGGTTTTACAGGTAAAATCAATTCTGAATCTTTACTTACAAATTAATTTCCTTAGAAACAATTTATTAAATACATAGTACCTTCTTGTTTGCCAGTAACTAGCAACAAAGTCCACAGACACATAAGCTGCTTATCAGGGTGAACTGATGGTGTGCCTACCTAGGGAGTAGTCCAAATGACCCACCTGGAACAGAGATCTGCAGAGCAGAACCAGTGATGTTTTATTTGTTTTTAAGAAGACATACTCTAAGGAACCTGACCATATAAAAAGATGAAGTGTGAAGTGACAGTTGCAGTTTTGCTTAAAACAAACTTCATGAAATTTGTCTTATATAATACAGTCAATTGGCTTATTGAAAAACACTTGCTATTTGGGAAGAAAGGAAAAACCTGGGAAGGCAAAATGAGTCCAAATTATGCTTTAAGTGATTGTATCCTTTGATAAAAACAGAATTTTGTCTTCACACCTGCTGCTTAAAGGAAGTCATCATCACTCTATGCACTGTGATGGTTTGAGCAGATTTTATTGTAGCTGTATGTGACTAGTGAGTATCATATTGGAAAGTGCAACCATGGAACATTCCCTTCACCAGAGAAATTTCTACTGGCAGCATTGCTATACAGCAAGAATTCTCAACATGTATTCCAGTCAGAACCATGTTCATGAAGGCAAACACTTTCTTGGGTTTATGTAGTCATTTAAAGTTCCCAGCCCATGGTGTTGCCACTTTTCCCCCTTCCCAGAAGATAGATCCATTAATAACATTATAGAAACCACCTTGTCTGTATGTGGGAGGAAATTAGATATTCACATCACTGCAACACAAAAATAACTTCCAGATAAAATTATAAAGAAAGTATAAGTAACTTGTCCTATCACATATAAAATGGACTGGAAATTATAATAAATAAAATACTGTGGTATTTTCATAGGAGCAGACAGATTCATACAACCATATCCAAAGAAAGTCAAGTGTCATATGGTTTTTTAGCAAGGGATAAAGAAGCATCTAAAGTCCATGAGTTAGAGTGGAAAGATAGAGTTTTCAATAAATGTGCTTAAGACAACAGAGCTAAATATTGAGGGGATTTAATAAAGCTACTGTATCCATATGTACTATTTAAAGGTTAATTCCAGCTGAATCAGAGATTAAAAAGTTGAGAAGTGATATTCAACAGTTTTTTAATAGAATAAAAGATGGTTAAAAATACAAATGTTACAGGATTTTACTAAACAAAATGAAAGGAATTCAGCAATGGCTGTCAGATTGTGTACTGTTGTCTTTAAATTAGTTGTTCTGATTACCAGATATAAGCATGTAAATTTGGTGGATAGCTTAGATAAATGTACTGCTTATTTCTGCTGGTCTAGTGAAAGGAACAGTTGATGTTTAATTTTTTTCCTCTTTAAATTTTTCATAAAGTACGTTTTAAAAAATATTTTTATAATTTTACAGATGGGAAAGCTTTTGTAATCATTTTATGAATATTAAGTTAGAATATTAATTTAACTGTCAGCAATCTGTGGCAAAAAACCCTGTAATCAAGACTAAAAAGACAAACAACTAGGAACATGTGACATATAACATTGGTTAGATCTTTTAATATAAAAAGAACTTCTACACATCAATTAAAAATCCTTTAACAGAAAATTGAGGAAAATTTATGGACAGAGTATTCACAAAAGAAGGACTAACAAGGTCACATTACAAATAAAACTAATAGTTTTCACATATCAAAGGAGGACGATTTAAAAGAGTAAGAAAAAATATTGTCACAGCTATGGGGGTGTGGATGATGTCATACGTCATTTGCTTGGTTCCAATTCCAGAGGGTGGGTTGCAGATCTGTACAATAATGTGCGATGGTTTCCATGATCTCACAATTTTATTAGGAATTTATTCTAAAGATAAATGTAGGCACTAAAAAACCTGTAAACAAAAATGGTCATTAAAGATTTGCTCACCTTAAAGCTTTGAAAAAAATCTAAATGACTGTAATAGTGAACAGACTATGTCAATTGGAATGTACCAATTCATTTAATTGCTTTGTGCACATTAAAGACAATGCAAAATTGTCTTTGATATGGAAATATGTCCATAAACACAATTTAGCAGACAAGCTAGGTGACAAAGCAGCATTGTTCAATTTCTATAATTATCTATGTATTTCTGTACATCAATTTGTACAATTAAACCTACAAAATATATAGAAAAATTCAATGAACTGTTATAGGTAAAGGGGTTTTAGATTTCCTTTTTAATTTTTTTATCTTTTGCATTTATGTTGAGAAAAATAAAAGCATATAATGTGTAAAATGCTTACCTCAGTATGAAAGACTCAAGTACTTATTTCATTTTTGCAGTTACTATGTTTTTATAATTTACAAGATCAGATAGTTGAAATTAAATGCAAACTTCAGAATAATTGAAGAATTAAGTATCAAAAAGGAAAGCCTACAAATTATTTTTAAAAAAGCATATAATAATTACAATAAAACTAACAAGTATTTTCTAACAGTAAAACAGAAGGAAATCAAGAAAACATCTTTTTACATGGGCATTGAAAATATACATATAGAACATAACAAGAAATGAAAAGCTGGAAGAAATAATTGTGATATTTCATAGATAAATGTCTATATTTATTCCAAAATACAACTTTTCATAAATCTTCCCCAAATAAAACCGTGTTACTTGAACTCTTCAGATCCTACCTCTGATTATACTTGCAGCATTCCTAAAGGCTTATGGCTCAGTGGAGAAAGGATCAGACACCATGATTTTTTGAGTTAAGTAAAAAAGCATAAAGCCTTCTAAAATGGAAGTCCA